ATATATTAGAATTATGATCCCATATTGGTGGGATCTGGATGCGATATACAATGATCCGCGTGCTCCAATGGAATGGATTCTAGATCCGGTTACTCTTAGGATCAAGAACCACCACACTCAGGAATTAGAGTCTATAGTATCCAGGAACACAAACACATAAAGGAAACACGTTCCCATGAAACTGGAAGCAAGATCCTAAGGGCCAACCCAAGATCTTTGAGAAAACTGTTTCGGAAGCGACACAACTGAGATCCTATAAGCGATCACCTACTCAAGTAGGCAATCACATTCCAAGTAGGGTACTTAAAGGAGGCTGTATAGGTTCCATGATTGGAGAGAACTAACACAAATCATCAAAAAAGAAACAGAAAAAAATTTTCTACCCTCAAAGATCGCAATGTGTCTACCCTTAAGAAATAATCCAACTAGTCAGAATGTTTCATCTTTTAAAAAATTCAATCAAAGGTTTTAAAAAACACCGATCGCCCGATCTGGATTAGGAATCTATGGACCGGTTCCCCCAATATATCGGAAAGTGGCCGGCTCCCCCTACGAATCGGACAGTTGTCAATAGCACCGTCCATTTAAATCAGTGAACTGGCCGATTCTATAAGTACAGGACCAATTCACCCTATCATAGCTTTTATTTACTATATTTTTAATTTTTCAATTTTAAATTGTTTTATGCTTCACTTTGGCCCCACCACCGTCAGGTCACAAGCTGCCATACATGCATGCCATCTTACGTGGTGTTACTCTGTTTTAAAGAGCTCTAATCCCCCTTCTCTTTTGCCAAATCCTAATGTGCGACTACTTGTCAAAAAAAAAAACATGATGTGGGACTAAATTCATAAGTTCTACCACAATTAGTCTAGTGAGAGAAATTAAAAAAGTGTTGGGTATATTGATATTGTATAACACAAAATGATAGTAAAAACTATCTTGAGAGAGAGAGAAATGGTCAAGAGGGGTGGAGGGGGAGAGATACAGGATCAACACCCAGAATTAAACCCCTCAAAGAAGAATGGAGAAATTGTGTATGTCTAAACTCAATGATTAATATTATTGACAACAATGTGAAAGGAACCTTGGCACCCAAGATTTTAGAGGCTCATAGATGTACAATTTACCGTAAAAGCATACTTGTTAGTTTTTGAAAAGGATATATATATATTAAGTTTTTTATTTTTTATATACAGAAGTCACAGTCATTTTTGTCCGTTGGAAATGAGATTGGGATGTGTTGTTGATTAAGAACAAAGTTCAAAATAAAATTCATCGAATGTTCTTGACATGTTTTTAATCTCTTGCATGTTATAGTCGGTGTTTAAGAGTCATTGTTATCTCTTTGTACCAAAAAGTAAATAGCCTTATAAGATACAGTCTCAAGAAAGAAATTATTCTATTTTCATGAATTTCTTTTGTTCTTCCGATACCCACTTCCAATTCCTTTTTGTATAAAAACGAAGGCAACAGTACATGAAAATTTATACAAAGTTTAAAAAAACGTCGATCCGAATATAAACCACCCGATTAATTAAGGTCGGTTTGGTTAATTTCT